AAGATTTTTACAAAACATCAAAGCTCTTCATTTGTTTTTTTTTTTTGGTTAAGCGTTATAATTTGTTAACTTTGTATAGTCTCCTGTGGAGTTCGTTCTTGACTGATAAGTAGATACTCATTTAAGGGAAAATATGCTTTTTAGAGGACATTTACCTTCTGGCTAACAGATGCAGATATATGTGGATATATAGAAGAGGGTTTATCTTCTTCATTAATCTTCATATCAATTGCTGCTTTCAAGTCGATGACTCTGCCGAAGAAAAAACATAAAATTAAAAGTGGGCAGGAGAAGGAGTACTCTGCTACTAATCAAAGTAATGAAAGACTTTTTCGGAAGTTTAAATTGAAATGTGAGAATCATATCCACAATGTGAGCAATCCATGCAAATTTTCATATGTGAAAATGAGAATCTTTTGACGGGAACATTTTTTTCATGGCGATTTAATGCACGATATGACGCATCATTTCTTTGAAAGAAGCTAATGCGAATTGCGCTGTGGACCAAATCATTTGGCTTAATTAAGCTAACTATTTGTATCAATGTTATATATTTTAGTTCAAAATTATTCAGATTAATTAATATGTACAGAACAACCAGGGAATGCGTTTATTTTATAAAAGTATATATGCACAAAATGCAAATAGCAGGCATAATATTTCAATAAATTCATGCGTTTATTTTATAAAAGTATATATGCACAAAATGCAAATAGCAGGCATAATATTTCAATAAATTCAGAGGATGTGCTTTTTGTTAAATTTTTGAACTTTATTTCGCTTAAATGTATGCATTTTTCGATCAAAAATGACATTTATGGGAAATTTTACGAAATGGACAGACTCTAGCATGACTTATAAGGACAGCTGTATCAATATTATACCATATTCTTCCCAAATTAATTTTTCCTGAGGTTGTCAATGTGCCGTACGTGGTATGGAGCCATCAAAAATAATTGCTGCGAGCATGCTTCGGCTATAATGCATACATAAGTGATCAAATCCGAGAAATAGCACTTTTTATGGTGCTTAATCCAAATTATTCGTGGATAATTGTATAATAAGGCACATTTTAAACTG